AACCCGAACCCGAACCCGAACCCGAACCCGAACCCGAACCCTAACCCTAACCCTAATTGCGCTCCTCCGCGCAGTGTGAAAGTGCTGGCTAACCACTGCCTGTTTCTTTTTCCTCTACATTTTAAGTTTAAAACTTCTCCTGCGGGAGGTGAGGGGCACGTTTGCTCTTCCGTCTTCTGGACTTTCATGACTGCAGTTAGAAAAGGTTTCAGTGGGGCCAGAGTACGCGTCGTTCTCCTAGTTCTGCTCATTTCTCTCTGCGGCCGTTCCTAGAGGACTTACCAGATTCCTCTAAAACTGCCCATTTCATCCTTTCTTTTGGCACAATAATATTCTGTTTCCCAGGAGGAGGACCCCCTTTAATTTCCAGGTTTTGGCTGTTCCCAAAAGAGTTGCCGTAAACATTTCTGTGCTTAGGGGCCTTTCCCTCTTTCCTTGATCTCATTGGGGGATGGGCCTCATGGCAGTCTTGCTGGATCATTTTTGGGGCACAGTTCCCAATTTGTGCCCTCATGCCCAGTTGCTTTCCAGAATGGCTGGTCCAATGCAGCCCCTCCAACGTCTGTCATTCTTTGTCTGTCTGATAGTTTAAGGGTAGAACCTCATGGTCATGCATGATTCTTTGATCCCTGAAACCCCAAGGCGACCTTCTTCTTCTGTGACTGTTCATGTCAGGTGAGGCTTAGGAAAGGCAGCTGTGTCCTGGACATTCAGTTACCCAGGGTCCGAATGCCTGTGGGGTTTTCTAGGGCCGGCCCAAGAGATTGCACCAGTCCCACAAAGCACAGGACCTCTTCTGTGAGATTCAGGATGACTCCCAGAGATGGATGGGTGCCCTGGGAGAAGAGGGTGTGGATGGGGACATGGGGTGGGGACAGCCCCTTCATTGGGCACATCAGGGCTGCTCTTTGCCAAGGTGCCGCAGAAGGGCCGAGAATGAAACGGGATCGGGAGGAAGGACTGGATTGACCGTGGGCAGTGGCATGACGCCGAGCTAGCTTTGTGAGAGGAATGTGTTGTTGTGAACTTTGTCACCAGCAAACACAGGCATCCCCTCACAAAGAGCAGGACAAATGATTCTGTGTGAAAATGAATTTCTGTCCTGGTCTGGGTCTAAAAAGTACCTCAAACTCAGTAGGCACAAAGCCGCCCTGGGTTTTGGTGCCCCTTTCTGAGCTTCTTCTTCTTTTTTTTTTTTTTGGTTAGGCACTGGGGTTAAGTGACTTGCCCAGGGTCACACAGCTAGTAAATGTGATGTGTCTGAGTCTGGATTTGAACTAAGGTCCTCCTGAATCCATGCTGGTGCTCTATCCATTGCGCCACCTAGCTGCCCTTCTGAGCTTTTTTTTAAAGGCTGTCAAAAACCTGTCTTTGGTAGGTAGATGTTCTGGTGGTGCCATCTGGTTCCACATTTTGCAATGTGGCGAGTTCAGGATTAGGGTTCCAAGTTGTGGGTAACCCAGGGCAACAGTGGAGCTGACCCACAAACAAGTTGGGCTTTAGGGTTATCAGGGAGCGACTGGCTTAGCATTTTGTAAGTGCCTTCTATGTACCGACATGTGACCAGCATGAAAGGTGGGCAGCTCCTGTGCTCCACTGGCCCCCTGACATAGAAGAAGAATTAGTGGAGGGCCTCCCTCCATGTCCTGGGCAGATCCTCTGAGGAGGGCTTCTGGGAAAACCGGACGAGTTACCGAGGTATCTGTGGGGCCGGCGTGGGCTCTGTTTGGGAAGAGAGGCCTCAAAGCAGTGGATGGAAATGGCAGCCTCCCAGCAGGTGGAATGGACTCTCGTGGTGGGGAGCTCCCCAGCGCTGGAGGGCTTCAGACGGAGCCTGGATGAAGACATTCTTAGCCATGATGTCTTAACTCTGGAGCTAGAAAGGCCCTTCTCATTTCGTAGATGAGGAAATGGGCACGCAGAGGGCTTAAGTGATTTAGCCATAGTCTCACAGGGATCCCGCTTCAGAGTCAGGCCCTGAACTCATTGTACATAATGCTGCCCGGACAGGCTCGCTGCAAAGGACTGTGAGTGTGGCCCAGAACTGAATGAGGGGAGAGAGGAGACTGCCTCTGGGTCGCACTGAGCCTGTCCGGGCAGCATTATGTACGATGTTGTCCCTCCTCTGGCACCAGAGACCTTCTTCCTCTCTTGGGCTCTCCCTGTGTGCATCATTGTGCCGCAGTCCTTGGCATCTAGATCCGCAGTCCAGATTTGATTCAGGTGGCTTGTTCATAGGAGTGGCCAGGGAACTTTGCCCCCCACAGAGAATCCCGCTTTAGAGTAGGACGGCTGTTACGAGAGGTTAGGAGGCGGACACCAGTGTTGGGGATTCGGAGCAAACTTCTGGCTCAGTCATGTTCCTCTGGGGAGGTGAATATGGAGGGCATGGTCTTTGGGGCAGGAGTTGGCTTTCCTTATTTAGTGGAAAGAGTCGGGATCTGGGAATGAATGAGAAGACCTGGGTTTGAGACTCAGCTTAGATGCTAGCTGTATGGCCCTGAGTTTGCCAATTATCTCTTCTAGGCTCAGTCTTTCTCTTTGTGAAATAGGATTACTACGCCGACTTCCAGCACAAGTAGGAGAAAAGCCGAAGGTGGCACATATTGGGATTGCAGAACCTTAGGGGCCTTAGAGACCCCCCAGTCCAAGCCATCTGCAGAGAGGTTGCATATCCTGGGTCACAAGGTCAGGAGGCTGCCCCCAGGTCCTCTGCCCTCCCTCTGCTGCGCCATGTTGCTCCTGGTGATGATTGCCTTGTTAGGTGATTCTGAAGCTGTTGCCTTGGCCCCTTGTGAAGCCAGACCCCTGAGAACAAGCCCCCTGCATGCTCTCTGGCCCCTTCCCGTGGACCCCCAGGGCCATCTGAGGGCCAGAACCTGGACAAGCACAAATAAAACCCTTTGGTGTTTCAGGAGCCAGTGACCTTCCAGGATGTGGCGGTGGTCTTCACACAGGAGCAGTGGGGATACCTGGACCCTTCTCAGAAGGAGCTGTACCGGGACGTGATGCTGGAGAACTATCAGAACCTGCTCTGCCTGGGTGAGGACGGCTTCTCCCTGGGACTCGGGCTCTGTCTCCTCTCCCCTCCCCAGCCCTAGAAGGGTCTTCATCTCCTTTGGTAAAAGCCCTTTGGCCTCTGAGGGCCCAGAGGTGACTGTGTGACACGCTTTGGACCAAGGAGTCCCTCCCTCAGTCTTAGACAATATGGCAGGCGCTGTGTGAGGGGCTGGGGGGGATGTTGACCTCTACCGAGTCAATGCTGATCGTTTCCGGGGTGGGGCTGGGAGGAGACACCAGCACCTCGGGGGATCAGTAAGGAGTGAGGGTTGTGTGGAGCCTTGAAGGGATCCTGACAAGTGTAGAGGGGAGAGAGGCGTGGAGCCTGGGGATGGAGGGTCACCTACGAATGGAGGCCAGTGGGGCATCAGTCAGTCATATGTCTTTAGTCCTGGTGAAGAGGACCAAAATGTATCTCCTGTTTCTTTTGGGCTACTTCAATTCTGCTTTGCTCACGGAGCACAGCACCTTCTCTGATGAGGGCACCATGCTGGGCGGTCCTGTGCCAGTGTCTCCCCTGTCTCATAGTCAATTCCAGAGTTCTTCAGAGGGACCTTGAGCGTGTCCTTGTATCGCTTCTTCTGACCACCATGTGAGGGCTTGCCCTCTGTGAGTTCTCCATTAAAATAGTCTTTTTGGCAGGCGTTCATTTGGCATTTGAACAACATGGCCAACCCATCAAAGTCACGCTCTCTGCAGTAGAGTTTGAACACTTGGCAGTTTAGTTTGAGAAAGGACCTCAGTGTCTGGCACCTTCTCCTCCCAGGTGATCTTCAGAATTTTCCTAAGACAATTCACATGGAAGTGATGCTGTTTCCTGGCATGGCGCTGGTATATACTGCCCAGGGTTCACAGGCATACAACAAGGAGGTCAGCACACAGCTCTGCAGACCTTCACTTTTGTAGTCAGTCTAATACTTCTTCTCTCCCATACTTTCCTTCGGAGCCTCCCAAACACTGAGCTAGCTCTGGCGATGCGTGCATCAACCTCATTATGAATGTGTACATCCTGGAAAGTACACTGCCAAAATGAGTGAACTTATTCACAGCATTCCAAACTTTTCCATTTGCTGTAACCAATGGTTCCATGTATGAGTGGTGTGGTGGCTGGCTGGTGGAGAACCTGTGTTTTCTTGGTGTTAACTGTCAGGCCAAAATTAGCCCAAGCAGCAGAGAATCGATCCATACTTTGTCGAATATCAGCTTCAGAGGCTGCATTGAGTGCATAATCATCTGCAGATAGAAAGTCATGCACCAACACTCCCTCCACTTTGGTCTTGGCTTGTAGCCTTTTCAAGTTGAAGAATTTGCCATCAGTGCGGTAGCTCATCTTGATACCTTGGTCATCCTTTGACAACATGGCTGAAACCACCAAGCTGCAAAGCTTGGGAGCAGGCACACGGCCTTGTTTCACTCCACTGTTGACTGGGAAAGCATGAGAGCATCATCCGTTATCCAGAACCCGGGCAAGCATGCTGTCATGGAATTGACCTACAATGCTGATGAACTTCTCTGGGCAACCACATTTTGACATGGTTTTCCACAAGCCCCCATGAATGACGGTATCAAAGGCCTTGGTCCGATTGATGAATATTGTGTACAGATCTCTGTTCTGCTCCTGGCATTTCTTCTGGAGTTGTCAGGCAGCAAACACCATGTTGACTGTTCCTTGGCTCCTTTTTTTTTCTTCTGTGTTTTTTTTTGTTTTTTTTTTTTTTGTCTAGGCAATGAGGTTAAGTGACTTGCCCAGAGTCACATAGCTAGTAAGTGTCAAGTGTCTGAAGCTGGATTTGAACTCAGGTCCTCCTGACTCAAGGGCCGGTGCTCTATCCACTACGCCACCTGGCTGCCCCTCCTTGGCCACAGCGGTTCTCAGGTAGATGACCGTCATTCAGGTGAAGGATCAGCCTATTAAGGAGGACTCTGGCAAAACTTTTGCTGGCAGTGACTAAGAAAGAGACTCCCTTGTGATTGTCACAGGATGATCTATTTCCCTTTCCTTGTTAGAGATGGACAGTGGAGGCATCCTTGAACTCCTCGGGATAAGCTCCTCTTGCCTTATGGAGAAGTTTGCCTTTAATTCTGGAGCTTCCTGAGCAGGGGAGTAGCATGGTCTGGCCTACACATTATGAGTTTTACTTTGGCAGCCTTTGGGAAGGAGGGATTGGGAAGAGAGAAAGCAGAGGCAGAGAGGTCATTTTAAGTTTGTTGCAGTGGTGCAGGAGAGAGGCAATGGTGGCCTAGATGAGGTGATGGCCATGTGAGTGGAGTGGAGAGAAGGGCATGAATGGGAGACCTGTGGAGATAGAATCGCCACCATTTAGAAGCTGCTTGGATTTGTGGAAGGAGAGCACCTACTGTGTGCCAGGCACTGTAGGATTCAAAAAGTGTTGGAGATACATAAAGAGGTAAAAGGCAGCCCCTGCCCTCAGGGAGATCACAGTCTGATGGAGGAGACTGCAAGCACACAAACACATGCAAACTCTATACAGGCTAAACTGGAAATCGTTGAATAAAGAGTGGGTGGAGAAAATATCCTGCAGAAGGTGAAATTTCGGTCGGGACTTAAAGGAAGCATGGGAGGTCAGCGAGTGTAGAAGAGGAGGGAGAGCGGTCCAGGCGGAGGGATGGCCAAGAGAGCGCCCTGAGCTGAGAGAGGCACACAGCCAGGAGGCTGGGGGCCTTCCCGGTGGGGAAGAAGGTGGAAGAAACCTCGAAAGGGAGGAGGGCTTTCAACACCACACGGAGCATTTTGTACTTTATTCTGGAGGCCATAGGGAGCCACTGGAATTTATTGAGTAGAGAGGTGATGTGATCAGAGCTGGTTGGAGGAAAATCGCTTTGGTGGCTGAATGGAGAATGAACTGGAGTGGGGAGAGTGTCGAGGCAGGCAGACCCCACCAGGAGCTATTGCAGTAATCCAGGCATGAGGTGATTAGCGTCTATACCTCTCCATGGAGCTCCAGTCCTACATCACCAGGCTTGAGGCAGTGTCAGAGGAGAGAAAGGGGTATATCGGAGAGGTGCTGCAGAAGTGAAGTTGACAGACATTCGCGCCATATTGGGTGTGGAGGTTGAGAGATAGTGAGGAGTCCAGGATGATCCTCGGTTGTGAGTCTGAGGGACTGGGGGATGGTGATGCCCTCCGCAGTCACAGGGAAGGAGTGTAGGGGGAAATATAATGAGCTCTGTTGTGGATATGTTGAGTTTAAGATGTCTATCAGACATTCAGTGTAAGCTGTATGAGGCAGCTGGGGAGGTGAAGCAGGAGGGAGCTTTGGGCTGGAGAGACCTGAGGATCGTCTGCACGGAGGGAGCTGAGGAGGTCAGCCAGTGAAGTGGGTTAGAGGAAGAAGAGAAGGTGATGTCGTCTGGAGGAAGATTCAGCAAAGGAGACAGAGGAGCGCTTGTAGAGGCAAGGGGAGATCCAGGAGAGAGAGAAGAGGGTGGCCCCTGAGGAGGTGAGTCGAGCACTGTTTGTTAGTGCACCTGAAGGAAGGCGGTCCTCACCAAAGCTTTTTGGGGAAAGATGATCTCAGTTCTGAACATGCTGAGTTTGAGAACACGATGGGACATTCAGTTGGAAATACCCCATCCTTGGTGATAGAGGACTGGCGCTCCATTGAGAGGCTGGTAGTGGGTACATACGGACTGGGAGATGAGAGTTGGATCCATGGGAGCTGATGGTAGAGTGTAGGGAGGAGAGAAGGCCGAAGCAAGAACCTCGTAGTGGTGCCGTGGGTGGAGCACCGGGTCCAGAGTCAGGAGGACCTGAGTTCGGAGCTGGCCTCAGGCACTTATTAGCTGTGGGACCCTGAGCAAGTCACTTCACTCTGTTTGCCTCAGTTTCCTCATCTGTAACATGTACTGGAAAAGGAAATGGCAAAGCACTGTAGTATCTGCTAAGAAAACCTCCAATGGGGTTGTGAAAGAGTTGGACCCAACTGAAAAGTGACTGACCAATAACCACCTCATGTTAGGCGCTGGGAGTGTGGTGCCCACCACAGCGACAGGGAAGTTAGAGGGCAACAAGGTGGGGCACAGATGAGGAGTTCACTTTTGGATGCCTGCCGGACCTGTGGTTTGAGATGTCCAAAAGGCAACTGGCGATGTGAAACTGGAAGTCAGTGGAGAAGGGACGGCCTCACATATAGCTGGATATATTGCTCTGGGATGGTCTGCGTAGAGATAATAATTGAACCCATGGGAGCTGATCAGGTTGAGACCCTATGGAGGGAGCAGAGTGCCCAGGACAGAGTCTTGGATGAAGATCCGGCAAAGGAGGCGGAGGAGTGGTCACAGAGGGAGCTGGGACACCACACCCCTGGGGGAGAGAGGGTCATTCGAGACAAGGGGATCCACAGTGCACAGTCGTGCAGAGAGGCTATGAAATTGGGCAAGGAAGACGTCATCAGGGAACCTTGGAGAGGACAGTTTCAGTTGAGTGAGGTGGTCATAAGCCAGACTTGCAGAGGGATGAGAAGAGAGTCGGAGTAGAGGAGCTGGAGGCCGTGAGGGTAAATGGCGTATTAGAGGAGCTTCATGGAGAGGGGGAGCATAGCTCTAGGTAGGATTCAGGGAAGATTTGTAAGTATCGGCTGACCAAGGCACGTCTGTAGGCTGGCAATGGGAGAAACCACTAGGGTTAGGGACAGGTTGAAGATTTGGAGGTGAGTGATACTAATGGGGGTCATTCTCTGGAGAAGGGGAAAAGAGAGGGATCAAAGCTGTGTGTGGAGTTGTTTTTCTAGAGGGCTGTTCTTTGCTGGAGATAGTGCGGAATGACATAGGGCGAAGCTTGTGGCTGTGGGCCGCAAAAATGTACAGTCTGCAAGCAAAACCAGAGGCAGAACTGTGAGCCAATAACCATTTATTGAGGGGGAGGGCCCACTTTAATGAGTGGGACCTCATCTTCCTCACGATCTGAGATGCCTCCTTTCTGCAGGGTCTTTGCTTTGTAGTGCTTGATACCCAGATGATACAGATGAGGCAGAGTCAAACACTGAATCTCATTGATTGATAGACCTTACCTCGATTCTCCACAAGGGCCGGAGATGCGGCATTTACATGGGCAGTCACAAGATGGACTGAGTGGTTGTAGGATGGGCGCCTCCTCACGTTGGGCAATGGAGAGATGACAGAGGATAGAAGGGGAAAAAATAGGTGGGGGACTTTCCATATCCTTAGATCATCTCTGCTGCGGAGGGCTTGGTCACGATGATTAGGCAAAAAAAAAAAAATGGCTGTCCAGAGATCTTACCCATGCTGACCTTGCAGGCCAAAAGAGGGAAGGTCCTCTAGTCTGAATTCTGGGGTTAGGCAAGTGAACTTAGAACTTGTAGTTTAAAGTTTTAGGGCCTAATATAAGAGAGACTCTCTAAACTTACTTCATAATCTCCAAATATAAGATCTATCTATCTAATCTTCTCTAATTATAAGATGTACACACACACACATATTAATACTAGTTGATTAAGCTGAGTTGATTAAGGCAAGTATAATAGAAATAATCACTCCTCAATGGAATCACTAAACTGAATAATACTGGTTGGAATAAAATAAGGGTAAAAAAAACCATTCGGCATTGTCAGATGGCCTTGGTTTTAGGCAAAGGCCTTAGCTGAGAGCATGTGGGGCGGGCTGGGCTGAGGGAGGCTGGAGTGAAGAAGGCAAGATATGGAGCGACTTCTTGGAAGAATGAGGTGTCCAGGTGACTAGGAAGGGGCAGAGAGATTGTCTTGTTACGGGGAGGGCCACGTTGAGGTGAAATGAGAACTTTGCAGTGGACCTGCCCAGTCTGGTTTAGTGATGTTCCTCGGTCTCAGGTAGCTTTAGGGTCAGATGTGGGGTTAGATATGGAGCTCTTACCTTAATGCCAAGAGGCTTGTGCTTGGGCTCACACTGGCTGTGTCTCCCCCCCGCCCCATTGCCAGGGACCCTAGTTCCTTTTAACTTAACACTTAGCATCACGTAGCCTTTACAAAGGAATGTTTACTTCAAAGCTATAGCAAGAACCATGCACGCATATTTTCCTCCATACCCGTGGGGTGTCCTCTCCCTTGCACCACCTCAGTCTCTAGGGAAGTAAGTGCCTCTTTAGCTCCTACTTGGTATTGACCCCACCAAGTTCATGTCCAAGAGCAGCATTGAGTTCTTTTCTTTGCCCCTGCAGAACTGGGCCTGGCTTTTGAATCTTGAATTCCTATGGGTCACTTTCCCATAGTTCCATAGAAAGAATAAAAAGGCCAAGAAGGACCCAGATCCATTGATTGGGGTCCCTCCTGGCTCACATGAAGTAAATGGGGGGGGGGGGGGGTGGGATGAGCTGCCTGAGGCCTTCTGGGACAGTTTCAGGGTCACAGCCATCAGAGGTTCCTCCAGGCCACCTGTGTAGACAACCAGACCCACGGACAGCATGGCCCCCCAGGTTCCATATTCTCTGTAGCTGTCATCCTCCACGTGGACAGATGTCACAGGAACAAGCTTCAGGTGTCATTGCCTAACGGACTCTTTTTTAAAAAAAGAGAGAAAAATTCCACCAAACTGATCGACATTTGGAAAGGTGCTGACATCCTCTGCCTTGTTCGGATCCCCTCCTCCACTCCTCTGCTGAGGGGTTCAGGGGAGAAGCCTTGTCCTGCCCAACTTGTTCTTCACAGCTTTCCCACATTCACTTTGGGGGATTTTGTCGTGATTCTTCCCTTTTTCACTTGTGGCTGTTATTGAGGATGTTGTGTTCCTGATGCTGCTTCCTTGACTCTGTATCAGGTCGTGTTGGTTTTCCCAGGCTTCTCTGGACTCATCTCCTCTGTCGTTCCGTTCCCCCACGGATGTGCAGCTCCTTTGTTTGTGGCCCTTTGCTCCCACGGAAGCGCTGCCGCTCAAAGTATTGTGGTGTATGTGGAGACTTTCTTTTTTTGTCTGTGACCTCATTCCTGGCTCTGTAGTCTCTGGCATTTTGTACATTTGGGCCCCTTCCTTTGCATCGATGCTCAGCTTGCGGTGTGTCAGTGGGCCCGTCAGTCCTTAAACATCGACTGGACCCATCTTTTGTCTCCTTTGCTAGTTTGCTGGGTGAGAGAGGAAGCCTCGGAGCTGCTTGGATTTGCATCCCCTTATTATTAGTGATTTGGACCATGCTTTCACATAGTTGTTAATAGTTTACATTACAAAAATGTGAACTTTTTGCTCATTTCCTTTGAAGGCTGATATATCTTGGAGAGTGACTTTTGGCCTCCAGTGCTTTGGCTATTTTTCTTTATACCTTGGATACCAAACAACTGAGAAATTTGGGGACAAAGATTTTATTCCCATTTCTCTGCCTCCCTTCTGGTCTCATGTGCACTAATTTTGTTTACCAAAGGTTTTCAGTTGCATGTATCTTTTGTAGCTTTGGCGATTGCTCCCATCTTTTGGTTAAGAACTCGTGTCCCCGCCATAGCTGGGAAAGGTTTCTGATTGGCTTCCCTTCTGATGTTTTTATGATATGATTTTAAATTTCCAGTTCTCCTACATACTTTGAATTTCTCGTTGAATGTGGTGTATGGAGCTCTTCGTCTTGTCTGGGCTAAGGAAGCTTTGGAACTAGGGGACTCTGAAAATTCTGGAGAATGTCACTGATAAATGGGAAAATGAGGGGGCAGGTTTGGAGCTGAGGCAACATTTTCCATTTTGGGAACCATGTGGATCTGCAGGGTTTTTGTCCAGTTCATGCCCTTCTTTTCTCGTTTCTGTCTCCTACTGGTGGGTCGTCTCACTGCTGTTCTGTGAGCCTCCCTTGGAATGATAGATGATTGATAAGGTAAGATCCGCACCCCGCCCCCCACCCCCGACTGCAAGCCTAGGAGGAATACTGTGATAATGGGCCTGGTCGGGACCTTCCATGCCTCCATCTTTACCCAAGACTTCCATTTCGTTTGGGCAGGACTGGCCGTGTCCAAGCCCGAGGTAGTCTGCCAGCTGGAGCGAGGGGAGGCTCCTTGGAGGCCAGAGGGGAGAGTCCCAGGGAGCAGCCATCCAGGTGAGTGAGTGACTGACCCCCCCAGGCAGGGAAGTCCTTGGGAAATGTCTCTGCTGGTGGGGGTTGGTAGGGGAAGGGAAGGGAGGGAGCTTTACGTAGCACCAAATATCTGTTTTAATCATCACAACAACCCTGTGTGGTAGGTGCTGTTTTGATCCCCATTTTGCAGATGAGGAAACTGAGGCAAACAAGTTAATTGTCATACCCAAGGTCACATAGCCAGTAAGCATCTGAGACTAGATTTGATTTAAGGTCTTCTTGATTTTAGGTTCGCCACTCAGTGCACCATGGCACCCCTTGGTGGTCTCATAAGAAATTGGCGCATCCAGCCTCCAGGCCTAGCCCTCTGTGCACTGGGGTACCCCCTAGTGGCCTTACAAGGAATTGGCCCGTCCTGCCTCTAGGCCTAGTGCTCCCTACACTGTGGTTCCCCCTATCTGCCTCACTCCAAACCCAGTGCCCTGGGCACTATGGTGCCCCCAGCAGCCTCTCAGGTCAGTAAGGGGAAGTCCCTTACAGGACTGGACAGGAGCTTCCCCTCTCCCAGCTGCCCAGACCTGGGAGAACAGCCCAGGCTGCCTGTCTTCCAGGAAGTCCCTTCACTGTCACCTCAACAAGTCTAGCTTCCCGACATCTTCCAGGAGTGACTTACAACCTCCAGTTGGGGATGGCTCCCAGGAGCCTAGATGTGGCGTTGGACCATTGAGCCCTGTCTCCTCATTTTAGAGGCCCAAACTGGGTAGCGACTTGTGCAGGGTCACAGGATTCAAACCCAGCCCTTCTTGGTCAGAGCCCCACGGCCATGTTGTGTGGACTTGTGTGTGATGGCGCATCCTCCGCATCTGGACCCACTTCCCATTTCTTGGGTTGCCCTGGTCTTACCAAAAAGGGAGTGTTGTAACATCACTGGTTGGGCACCAGTGTTCTCCTTGGGTCTGAATTCTGTTCTGACTGTGTGTTATCCCTGGGGAGTGTACTTTTCTCTAGTTTCTGCCTTGTTTGGTCTGAGAATCAGTTCCTGCGAGCCTTTCCCCTTTGGGATCTCATCACACTTGTTCCTTACAGCTCAGCGGCAGTCTGTTACGTTCATGCATCATATTTTGTTGGATATTCCTCAGACAAGAGGTAGTTTTTGCTCCTGTAAAGATCAGAGGTGTCAAACTTATCAATTAAAATGGAATTGGGAAATGGTGAACAAAGTAAAAATACAACGTAACGTAAATTTGTGGTTTTCTAAGTTAACATGTGATCCATCTCCATTGGAGTCTGACTCCACTGCTGTAGATAATTCTGCGGGGAGTATTTTGGTCCACTGGTCACTTTTCTTTGTGTCCTTATGCTTAGCAGAGGGTTTGCTGGATCGAGGTTATCAGCCGTGACTTTTCTTGTCTGATAATATAAAATGATTTCCACAGCATTGTGCCCATTCCCAGCGCCACCCAGAGTGTGTTGAGTGTTTCCAACCTTGGCTCTTTCCATCCATCTTTTACCATTTTTGCCAAATTAAGGAGAATGAGGTGATAAATTTCAGGGTTGTTTTCATTGTGTATTTGTTATTTTTGATTGGGACCTTTCTTTTTTTCAAATAAAGGAATTCCACATCTAACCCCAATTTCATCCTTAAACTTGGGCCACTTCTCTCCTGGAGAATGACTTTTTATCTTATAAATGGGTGGATTTTTGATACACTTTGGATGTCAAGCATTTCTTAGAGTATCTTGATGCAAAGGGGTTTTGTCACTTCCATAACTTTTCCAATTCTGCCTGCCTTTGTATTTATGGTAGCGCTGTTAAATATAGATTTTATATACAGTCATCCCTCGATATTTGCAGGGCTCAGGGGCCTGGGACCCCCATGAATGTGAAAAATTGCGAATAACTCTAGGCCTGCCCCAAACTTTTTTTAAAAATAATTTTGATCATATTTATTTAACACACAAAACAAGGAAAACAACACACGACACTTACACAAATTTGTAGTTTCTAGGAGCCAGAGATTAGTATCTCACACTCTGTGCAAAGTCTTCTCAACTGCTGGTGTCACCGCAGCATGGATTTCCTTTTCTTATGAAAAGTGCAAGATATAATGAAAATCATACGACTGAGTTTGGATGGTAAAGAGACAAAGAAGAGGTGTTGCCAAAGAGAGTATGTAGCCTGAAGTTTTTTAGTGCACTGACACTTTTAATAAAATTTAACTTTATAATAAATTCATGAATGTATACTTATTATAGTAAATGATAAAATAGATGAATGATATACAGTATTGCTAAGGGGCCCTGTTGTCATCAGCACACTGAGGGGTCACCTTAATCAACGGGGGGCTGAGGAGCCCCTAAACTTTTTCTTCAGTTTTCTTCTTTACCGGAGATGAAGCTCTGTCTGTGTGATTCCCTAGCACATGGTGCTCTGTGTAGGCACTCACCATCCTTTTAATAAGAAAACTGTGTCCCTTTAACATTTTGAAGTTTTCCCTGAAGTTGGAGTGAGGAACCTTGACCTGGCTAGCTTTTCAGGCTAGCTTCTCTTTCCTTGTTTTTTTTTTTTTTTTAAATTCTCTCTCTCTGCTACCTTTCTCTAATCCTGGCACACCTCTCCCATTCCCTGAGATCTTTTAGATGTCTGCCAGTTTTCTTAGATCGGTAATTCAGTTTTCAGGCTACAAGGATACAAGATTAAAATCATCTGTATTTACTAGCCATAAAGTTCAAGAAGACATCATAAAAAAAGAAACCTCATTTGGGGTAATAACCAAAGTTATTGCCCATTTGAAATGGACCTATCAAGGAGTCCTTAGGGTATATAGAAGGACAACTCTGAAATAAAGAGCTAAATAACAGGAGGGAATTAAGTGTTCATGGATGGGTCAGATGAATGAAGTAAGAAGCAAAATAAGTACTTATAAAATTTATATATTTAGTGCAGTGACCAGCTGGAAGACTAAGAGATTTCTTCATGGTATTGGACGGACTTAAAATTCCATTTATGTAAAGAAACATATAGGGGAGAATTGCAAAGAAACATGGAAAGAAAATTCTTATTGATCCTGGCACTTTATTACTTGCCTGCATCTCTGTGCCAGGCATTGTGCTAGATCTTAGGGTTACAAAGGTAGAAATGAAACCATCCCTACCCTGAATGTGTTGCCACATTCTGAGAGGGGATGCGGTATATGCGTGTGCACGTGCATGTGCGCATGTCTGTATGTCTGTGTTTTTGCACAGGTGCAGGTGCATGTGTATTTATGTATGTTCATATGCAAATAGATACTAATATTAGGAATACAGATAGCGTAAATAGGTGTGGAATGAACAGAAAATCCAATCCAGGGCCAGTAGGGAGGATTTGCATGGGCAGTGGGTGGATCAGGAATCCCAGTCTTCCCAGTAGAAGGCATTGGGCATCATTTCAGTCTTCATCTTTGCAATAGGTCTTTCAGACCAATGACAGCATTCCTGTAACATGTTCAGGTTTGCAAAACTCCTTACATGTTATCTGGCTTGATCTTCACGATGAGCCCTCAGAGGCAATGCTCTTATTATCCTGATTTTACAATTAAGAAAACTGAGGCCAAGAGGGGTTAGAGGATTTGCTTAAGGTCACACCGCTAATAAGTGTCTGAGGCTGGATTCAAACTCAGGACTTCTTGACTCCAGCTTCAAGTCCTCTGTGCACTGTGTCACCTAGCGGTATCTAATCTGTGTCTCTTAAAACAGACTGACAGCCTGAGGTGCCTGAGTCCCCGTCCACATGGGGAAGAAACGAACTGAACCAGTCATTCATTCCTGTCATCGTTCTAAGCAGAAAGAAGATTAGAATCTGAGCTTTGCAAGGACACTGAGGGGCAGACCAGCGAGCCCCTCCCCTTCAAAGCAGGCATTCTTTCCCTGTTCTCCGCACGTGATGGTCATCCAGCTCTGCTTGCATCTTTCCAGATCCTGTAAGCTGACTCCATGGTAGGGCAGCTGTGAGGTGTGGCAAGAAGACCAGGAGGATGGAGGTTAGGAGACTTCCCAGGATTGCGCTGTGCCTCTGCCACTTGGTTGTGTGACCTTGAGCAAGTCACTGAATCGTTCTGATCCTCAGGTTTCTCATTTAATGTACTCGCTGTCCTCCGTTCCTCCCACAGTTGTGGTGTGGACCAGTGGGAAAGTTTTTCCTAAACTCTGCATAATCTGACAAACATAAGAAAGACCCCATTTTTTTCCCTACCCTTTAAAGTTTTTCAATAATTATTTCAGGAAGAGACACAAAAGAGGACTGCTAAGTGTACAGCAGGTGGGTACAGGTGATGTTTCCATTTTCTTTATTTCTTTCAGGTGGGGAGGTGAGGCCTGAAACCAAGGAGTCACCCCCAGAGCTGGGCATTTCTGTGGAGCAGTCATCAGGCCAGGACAGACTCAGGAGGCATGGTCTCTGTGTCTCCAGCTGGAAAGAAGCCTGGGCACGTGGTGCCAGATTAGGGAGGCAGCAGAGCATTGAGGAGAGAAATCCTCAGCAAGTAGTGAAGGGCCCTGAATGGCACAATTATGGCCAGAGCTCCAGGCCAGAACCAAAGCTTTTCTCACAGCAGAGAGTGTCTATGGAAAAAACTCTCCACAAGTGTGATACAGAATGTAGTAGAGTCTGCTCAAAGGAGATATTTTCTAAGTATGATGAATGTGGGGATTCCTTCAATTCTAAATCAGAGTGTAATGAATATCATGGACAACATGCTGGAGAGAAACCATGTGACAGATGTGGAAAGACCATTCCTCTTGGTCCATTCATTAATTCCTATCAGGCAACTGGTATTGGAGAAAAAAAGCCCAAATGTAACACATTAGAGAAGACTTCTCCCCAGATTGTACCACAACTGATTGAGCATTGGAGTGTTTGTGAACATAGTGAATATGGGGAGCCTTTAACCCACGGTTCCTCTGTTACTTCGTATCAAAGCGATCATAGAGAGAAGAAACCTGATGAATGTGGGAAGGCCTTCCTCCAGAGTGCACAGCTTCATTATCAGCAGATTCATATTGGAGAGAAACCTTACGAATGTGATGAATGTGGGAAGGCCTTCCGCTTGAAAGGACAGCTTTCTCGACATCAGAGAATTCATACTGGAGAGAAACCTTATGAATGCAAGGAATGTGGGAAGGCCTTCTGCCAGAGTGCTCACCTTGCTCAACATCAGAAGATTCATACTAGGGAAAAAACTCATGAATGTAATGTATGTGGGAAATCCTTCTGCCAGAATGCACACCTTATTCGTCATCAAAGAATTCATACTGGAGAGAAACCTTATGAATGTAATGAATGTGGGAAGGCCTTCCACTTGAGAGAACTCCTTATTCTACATCAGAGTATTCATACTGGAGTAAAGCTTCATAAATGTAATGAGTGTGGGAAGGCCTTCAACCAGAGAGGGCATCTTACTGGACACCAGAGAATTCACACTGGAGAGAAACCTTATGAATGTCATAAGTGTGAGAAGACCTTCAGCCTGAAAGGGTCACTTACTCGCCATCAGAGTAACAGAAGTCATTCCACCTTTGGAAATTAACCTACCTAGAGTTACACTATACCTATTAAAAAACATTTAGAATGCTCTGAGTGGAATAAAGCAAGAGCTTCGTAGCTGGAATGGATTTAGTATGTACCAAATGGATGGGTCAGGTAAATAGAGGGTGCTTAGTGGCATCGCTGTGCACTTGTTGAAAGGGCAGACGGAAGAAAGGCACAGGTTTGCATTCATTTTGTTGTGAAACCTATGTATGATTCGTGATTATGGCCCCATTTTGAAAACAGAAGACTAACAGTAGATTGGGGGTTGGGATCCAAGCCCTGCACAAGGAAATGTCCTTGTCTCTGGGGTTGCTCCCAAAGTTATCACTGCCAAGAACCCTGAGACACAAGGCTCTTCTGCTAAGTCAACCACAGGAATTGATGAGAAGTGAGATTAAGTCATTAAAATGTAGCCTTTAGCAGATTTAGCGGGATGTACAAACGTTCTCTTATCCTTCCATGTGGCATTTCCTTGTCTTGAGAGAGGAGCGGTGCTTTAAACCTGAGCAGTCTGCATGATTCTAGGCTGTTCTTCTTTGCTGCAGAGAAGGCATTAGGGTAGTAAGAAGGACTACTTATAAAATCAGTCACCTTGCCAGTCAGAATGCCAAGGGTTTCTTTATGGAGGCAGAAGCAATTTAAATTCCATTTGCATAGAAAAGAGGCAAGAATTGTACAGAAATGTGGAAAGAGAATGCTAAGCAATCAGGCATTTATTAAGTGCTCACTATATACCAGATACTATGCTAGATCCTGCAAAAACAGACAGAAGTCACTTCCCTCAAGGAGCTTACATTCTTAAGGGTGCTAGCTCTAATTCAATTGAGAGAGACATTCCCATATGTAAGAGTGTACCCAAAATAAATCTGAAACAAGTACAAAGTAAGCACAAGGAATGGAGGCAAAGAGGCCTTTCAGAGGTGAGGAGGGTATGGGCAGTTGTTGTATCAAGCACCCTAATTGCACCAAAATAAGGCTTTGTTTATCACTGCATCATCTTCAAGCCTACAGTGTGTCATTCAGAGCTATAATGTTAATCTGCATCTCTTAAAACAGACTGACAGCCTGTGGTTGTGCCTTTCCAAGTCATGTCATACCTCCTACTGCACATCCATGAGAGAAGGAAACAGTTAATCAGTCCCAGTGTGCTCCCTTCCAATGTTCTAAGCAGAAGGAAGACGTAGATTGTGAGATTTGCAGGGACGCTGAGGGGTGGGCCAGTGAGCCCCTCCCCCTCGACGCAGGCATGCTCTCCAGGTTCTCAGGTGATGGTCACCCAGGCTCTGCTTGCATCTTTCCAGATCCTGTGAGCTGACTCCATGGTGGGGCAGCAGTGAGGTGTGGCAAGAAGACCAGGGGGATGGAGGTTAGGAGACTTCCCAGGATTGCACTGTGCCTCTGCCACTTGGTTGTGTGACCTTGGGCAAGTTAGCCCATCAGTAAGTGCCTACTGTATGCCAGGTACTGTGCTAACCCCAGGGATCCCAAGAAAAGCAAAAGGTAGTCCCTGCTCTCAAGGCACTTATAGTCTACTGGGGGAGGCAACATGCAAACAACCACGTGCAAACAAGACACGTAGAGGAGACGTTAGAAGTGATTGCCAGAGGGAAGTCTATAATAGAGTTAAGAGAGATTGGGAAGGGCTTCTTGTAGAAATGAGATCTTGGAGTTGAAGCCAGGAGGCAATGATGAGGAAGGTGAGAGTGTCACACATCAGCAATAGCCAGTGAACATGCTCCGAGCTGAGATGCAGTGTCTGGTAGGGGAACAAGAAGAAGGCATGTCACTGGATCTCGGAGAACGTGGGATAGGGCATAAGATGACGGGAAAGCTGGGAGGGCAGGTTCTAAAGGGCTTTGAATGTCAAACAGAAGGCTTTATGTTTGATCCTGGAGGTGATTAGGATCCACTTTAACGAGGGCATGACATGGTCAGTCTCGTGCTTTAGGAAGATCACTTTGGCACCTGAGTGGAAGATGGATGGGGGAGGGGAGAGACTTGAACCCTGCAGACCAACTCGCATGTCATTACAATAGTCCAGGTGTGCGGTGATGAGCTGCAGGATGGGGACACCATCAAAGGAAAGAAGAGGCACATGTGGAAGAGACTGAAGGTGAAATTGACAGGCCTTGGCAACCGATTGGAAATGGGGTGGGGGAAGTGACTAGTGGAGGGTGACACCTACGTTATGAGCCTGGGGAACTGGTGTTCTCGATAGTAATGGGGAAGATAGGGAAGGAAGAGTCTGGGGAGAAAGATAATGAGTTCTGTTTTAAGAAGTACTTGAGATGTCCAATTTGAGGTGGCCACTTTTTTTTTTGTACAGTCCACAAAATAAGAATAATTCTTACATTTTAAAGCCCTGCTTTATTTAAAAAATGTCAAAACCATCCTTAGCTTATGGTTTAGCCCAGGGACCATAGTTTGCTGACCCCTACTTTAAAGTATAACAGTTATTGTTTTGAGAAGCAGGAATAAGTGTATAGTAGGTGAGGTCAGGGGATATTTCTATTAAAATTTTTGTTTTCAGATGGAGAATTTAGGTCTGAAACCAAGGAGTCATCTCCAAAGCTAGGCATTTCTGTGGTACACTTATGCTAGGACAGACTCGGGGGCATGGTTTCTGTGTCTGCAGCTGGAAAGAGGCCTGGGCTTCTTTCTGCCAGGTTAGGGAGGCAGCAGAGCATTGAGAGAAATCCTTAGCAAGCAAAAACCACCCCAGCCAGACCTCCCAATAAATTGAGAGGCAATGTGTACAATAGCTATGGCAGATGCTTTAGAGCAGAACCAAAGTTTTTCTTGCAAAAAAGAATGCCACACATCATTCCTCTTTATTTCCTCAACAGCCCAGTCCTGCCCCACTTAACTCTTATTCCTCACTTCCTGCTCCGACCCCTCCTTGGGCTTGGGTGTGACCTGGCACTGTAGCTCTCCAGGCTCCTCACACTTGGGTTCACAATCTTCCTCCCTAGAGTGTATCGGGAACATTTCCACTCTGTTAACAGGCTTAAGATAAAAACGATTTGAAGGCCCTCAGGAAACCCTCTTCTGCCCTTTGGGGCTCTCCCTATCAGTGACAATCATGACAGGGTACTGAGAAATCCTTGCTTCACACACTAGAAGCTTTTGGGCATCAAAGGAAGTTTCTGCTTCTGAAAATAATAGCACATCCTTCCATCCATCCCTTTAGCCATGAATCCAACTCTGCTCAGAGCCAGCAGTCAGTGAGTAGCTGCCATCTTCAAAAGCCATGGCTGCTTCTTCCCATGGGCAGTGCAGAGTCCTCTGGGTCAGGGTGTTGTGGGCCTGGTGGTACACCAGCATCTTCACGCTGCTTCTGTCTGTGTGCCAGAATGCCTTTGGATCTGAAACAGAAATGCACAATCATCCTTAGACAATTGGAGCTTTCCAAGGGGACACACTGGACTAGCCCGAGGTTTCTGCCTAGGCCAACCTGTTATCTCTGTGCCAGAAGCACAGTAGGAAAGGACACCGATAATTGAAACAAAAGAACAAAGGAAAACTGGAATACCAACAGAGACTCAAGCTGATGAGGATATAAAGTGAAGCGAACCCTGACCACACAGAGTAAAAACTCCAGTTTTTACCTCATTTCAGTGTTGCTGTCTTGATATAAGAGCCGGCTGCTTCCTGGCTCTCCACCACTTCTCTGGTTTCTTTTTACTTGGGCTATAAATATGGATGATAATTGTTATGACCAATGTGTTTGAGGGCTTCGCTATTTCCCAAGCCAAAGAGCATTTGAAAACCAGCACAGGGGAGGAAATCTGTGATTTTGAAACCCCAGCAAATATGAACAAGGTGCACTTACAGGGTGGATTTTCAGAAGAGGATCTAAAAGCATACAACATCAAAATAACTGGGGATATCAGTATGTTGTGTGCTGCCCATGTAAGATACAACTCTGTGGGATGGCAGAATCTATAGACAGCAGCTAGAAGGGAGACATTGATAGATGTGTCTGGAGTTTGGCCCACCCTCACCAAGGGAGCCTCATATTTCTGCCTACAGGGGAGCAAGAAAAGGGGACTTTTTAAGTTCCTACAAAGTCTCTTGCTTTTGCTTTTATAGGGTGAGGGTAGCCAAAGCTTACACCTGCTGGCTTGATTTCTTTCCACCAAATGCTAGATACACAAAAAATCATCACAAATAGTGAATAGTAATTAAACATTTAATCAAGCAAATAGGAAATGGCATATTAGAATATGCCAGAAATTACAGAGTGAATAAATTCTCCCCATGGGAATAAGATAACCTAGAGGCACCCCAATCTTACCCAAGGGGGAATTCCCCAAACTCTAGAGAGACAAGTTGCAAATCAGGGACATGTTCAGGAGCTAACTTCGTTACATATTTTTCTGCTTACAACGTATTTTTTCTCTCTTTTCCTCTCCAGAATAAGTCCTGAAGAGTAAGAGTCTGAAACCATGTGAGCTCTCTCTTGAAGTAGTAACGTCTCTCCTCTCCAAAACTCTCACACCTTCTCATTTCTACATAGTCATGCAGGGTTGCATCCACATTCTTTGCACTAATCTTAAAACTTAAATTGTGCTGGTAGCATATAACACAGGGATACCACTCCCTTATCGGGCTTGTTTGGGAGTCAAGTTGTTGCAGTCTGAGAGATTGAGACTCCACAAAGACTGAAGTCCAGGACGGGGTCATCTGGAATGAATTCACAGACTCAAGCATTCTTTAAGTCAAGGTGGCAAAGATTTATTGTTATGCTTTTCAGCGGGCAAATATTCTTAAGGAACCTGCGAGAGACTGAGGATAGAGCTAGGGTTTATATGGAAAAGGGCATGGGAAAGGAATGCCAGGGACACTGATGAGGTAATCTAAAGGTCCAGGTGTCTTTGGGAGCTGTGGATGAGAAAGTGCAGGGAGTATACCGGACAAGGAGGGAGATGACAGAGGTATGGATCTTGGGAGTCTGGCAGGAGGAAGAGTCCTTGGGCCAGCCAAGGACAAAACTCCTTGGGCTGGGCAAGGCACCCCTCTCCCTCTGTGTTGATGAGAGAATGCGCTGCAACAAGGGAAAGCTTTCTCACAAGACAGGAGCTTACTAAGAAATTGGGAGGCTTCCAAAGAAATGATCTGAGGGCTAGAGCCTGAGCAGCCCAGCCCTCTCTCACCCAGCTTTGTGTAGCTGCACCAGCAAGAGAGATAAGGGTCTTGCTGGGGCCCGCTCGTGAATAACTGCTAGGCACAGTGTCCTTGGGCTGGGGAGTGATTGTCAGAGACAGTGCTTCTGAGACTAGGGAGAAATTGGGGTCCAAGTACAAGCACAGGCACCCCATCAAAGTCACATAGGTGAAAGAGTCCTATCATCACTTCTTCCTACTCTTATATGCTCCACATGCCTGGCCCCTTCTTGCTTAACAAGCCCCGCAAAAGCTACCC